AATGACTAGGGCTCCGTAAGGTAGCTATCTCTAGGAGAGTGATAAACGCTGAAACAATACTCGGCAGAGGGAAGGGATCAGAGTGAGTGTTAAATAGTGAGGGAGTGATATGAAACAGCTGGGTGCAATCAGTGTAAACAGGTGTGTGCAATTCGTGCTGAGTGCAATCAGTGCAATGCATGATGGGAAATGTAGTCCGGGGTGATGTGCAACAGTGTGTAGTGCGAGAGTCAATGAATTGGAAAGTTCATGAACCGGATTCGTGACAATAACAAAATAAGAGTGTATATTTCTACAGTAATTCCAGTAGAAATTAACCACCATGTTTCTGTCACAGCAAAGGCTCCTAAACCTACTGTGAAGATCGACTGCAAAGGTGCTGACGCTACACTCACCTGTGACATTAGAGACCGTACAGATCTGACTGTCTCCTGGTATAAAGAAGACAATATCATCCAGAATGAAAACAACCCAAAACTGCTCTTGACATCTGCTCACATACAGGAGAATAAACCGTACTCATGCAGTGTAAGCAATCCTGTCAGCTATCATCAAAGTGACAGTGTTACAGTACCATGTAAGTCAGTTTTTTCACATGCTTCTCATTCTTTGTTGAGTTTGTTTCAGTTTTTAGGATTTTTAACAGCTTAAAATAGATTAATGATCGACTTGTTTGTTACTGATTTCATCACATTTGTTTTTGTCTTACAGGTCCTACGGGTGAAGGTGACACAGGTCCTCCTAAACTCTTTGGCTTTGATTTCTGGATCATGGTGAGCATTTTGGCAGGTTCAGGAGCCCTTCTGCTGCTGCTGATATGTGTTCTTTTGTTTTCTAACCAACGCAAGAAGCACCAAAAAGGTAAGAGATGTCTTCATCACCTCTGAAATTATACTGTATGAGCATTTGTATTTTCAACTAAAGGGAAACTGATCAAACTATGAAGCTGTCGCTGTTCTTGTTAAGCTTTAAAAGTTCACACCACAATCATTATCATATTTAAATGCCAAATCGTAAACTTACATTTATTCATTTAGCAGATGCTTTTATCCAATGCTAAATTATAGTAGTAGTATAAAAATATATAGTCAGGTAAATACAATTTTAAGTCACTGGAATGAACCTATAATGGAATTTTCTGAAAAATTGCAATTACATTTATATTTACCATTTACATTTATTAATTTATTGACTTACATACAGTATGAGTAGCAATCAAAACAACAAAAGAGCAACAATATATGTGTTGTGACAATTTTTAAATAATAAATAAAGAGTGAATAGAAAAATAGAGAAAATTAAAAAAGTAATAAATAGAAATAGAAAAATAAAAAGCATATAGAAAATGAATGAGAAATTATTATAATTATTTAATCAAATTCACCTGCAGTTAAACAGGAAATTCACAGGCTTAGTAAACAGATCTAATCAAGCTCCACTTAACATCCTGTTCACAGACGTAATGTGTTTTTCTGAGGCATTTAACAGAACAAACACAAAAACGGGTTTTCTAAGAACCCACACTTTCAAAAGTAAGTTTAATTATAATTATTTTTTCATATTGTTTCAGTTGCAAATTATTTATAATTTAGTAAATATTATGTAAAAATTCACTGCAGCTTGTGTTATTTACTATCTTTAAATTAAATAGTGTAATATTATATATATTGGAGATACTGGATATAGGATTACACCAAGATATTGGCACTGGCCACCAAAAAAATAAAAATAAATAAATAAATCAGTAGACCACTACATGGAAATTATAGGGGTTTCCCAACTGGGGGTTCTTGAGTTGATGGAAAGCTAATAAATCATTAAATTGCATGAAAATTGAAAATGGGCAAACATAATTAATTGAAATCAAATGGAAATTGTGATATAATTTATACTTTTAGATATATATATATTTATACACTTGTTAAAAAAGATTTATTATTAAACATCAAAGACCCATGAACATTTTTAATGTGTTCTTAAATTATTGAAATATTGGCAATAATGGCAATTTTATGAACATCTTGCCTTTGATATCTTTCAGATGAGAGGGAGTTCAGGCTGAGGAATATTCAAGCTCCAGCTCCTACCAAAACAGATCCAAACACAGCGGGAACATCTCATTACAAATGACAACCTGAGTGTTCATACTTCTCTAAACACATATTAATCACCTTATGAATTTGAATGTTTGTTCAGACAGAGAGGCCAAAGAGAAATAAAGTCATAAGAGCTCCAGTTGGGCTTTGGAGGATTCATGATGAGCAGAAGTGTGTAGCTGATGCAGCATCTAACATTCACGTATCAGCTGTTTCTGAGGGGGAAAAAATATTTTTATGTACACTATAAAACATACAGTCGTGATTTTCCATAAAGAAATTAAATAAACTTACTCTCGTAAATCTTGGGTCTTCCACTGCAAGCAGCACAATAATCTTATAGAACAAGAATAACAGTGACACACTCACTCATTTACAGTCAACATGAAATCATAACCAAGCCTGTTTCCTTCATTAATAGATGTAGTGTGAGTTATTCATGTGATTGTTATTCATAAATGGTTAGAATTTTTGTTTTGAGTTTTGAGTAAATGATAAGCACAGAATGGAAACACGCTTCAAATGCTTTAAGAGATTAAACACAGTCTTACCGTGAAAAGGAATTTTAATGAGAAAAAGGATGATAATAACCGCAGTGATCAAAGAAATGGCAATTGCAACGACAAGACTTGTGTTCAAATCTAATGAAGAGAAGAAAAAAAACATGTCATACTTATGAAACAAATCCAGTCCTGTAATATGCATTTAAATGGTCAAAATTAGGTTAGTAAATAACATATTGCATTACTGAATTATGCCATCATTTTTTTTTTTACATATCTACATGCTGATTTATGTTGTATGGAGTTTCTTCACTGTCTTACCATTAAACAGATCTCTCTCACAGACCGGATCACTGGTCGCTTCACTCACGGCGTGCTCGAGTGTGCAGGTGTAGAAGTTTTCTGGATTTCCTTGTTTTTCAACTGTGATGAACTCTCCTTTTAGATGGTGCTTTGAGCGCTTCAGTGTTTCTGCGGCAGAATTCTTCCAGACGATTGTTCACTCGCATATTAAATACACAACATCAGGGTTACTGCTCTTCTCTGTTCTTATCACAGGTTTAGGGACCCGCTCTGTGAAAGGAACAATGAAACAAGTATGAAAATTCAGTTCACAGAGAAAATAAAATGAAATGAAAAACATTTTTACTTTGGTACAAACTATCACTAACCTAAAAGTTTATACTGTAATGCTACAGTGGTTTTAGGACATGTACCATGGTAGTACTGTGTTATTCATGGAAGTAGTTTGGAGTACCATGTAAACACAATATTTCAAATTACCAAGGTGTTATTCCTGTATCTGAAGTTAGCTAAAAAATTTACAGTATTAATATGAGTGAACTGAATGACAAATATTCACTCACCCAACACTTTCAAGTGGAATCTGTGTTCCTGCTCTTTACTGTTGATGTCGATGGAATAAAGTCCACTATGTTTGACATTTAAATCATGTATAGCAATTTCTCCAGACTCCTTATCAAGAGTTGTGATGCCTTTGAATCTCTGATTCGGGATGGAAACACCATCATCATCCCATTCAATCGCATTGACAAGAACTCCACTGCTGTTTCTGTGTTTCCACATAATGCTGCTGACAGGAGGATCTATTCTGTTTGGACGAAAACACACAGCTTCACCCACTGCTTTCTTCACTTCTTCACCTAATGAATGAAAAATGGAAGTTAGTCAACATTCAACAATCAAGTTTATTCCAGTTGGTGAATTTCTATACTGGAAGTGAACTCATCAATAACGATAATATCAATAAGAACCTAAAAGTAACATGGAATTTGGACATAATGCCATAGCAGCCATTAACTTTATGATACACGGATATGGAAATATAAATCAAATACCAGGGTATAACGAAAACAGTTGTGGATCTATTTGCATAAAATACACGGGAATCGTTTAATATTTGTTAATTAGACTATTTTTTGTGAGCAAATATTTATTAAAAGAAAAGAACAACAAAATATCACAAAGCATTTCAAACAGCCAAAGCGAAATATACATGTAGCCTATATCAAAGGCATTACACACCCATGCATTAATACAAAATAAACAGTTATAAAAAGATCAAGAAAAAAAATAAGGGGTACCCACACACAAACACATAGAGGAATTACTCATGTCCTGGAACCAACTTAAAATACAGGTAAAGAGAAGAGATCATCTCAACCAGCTTTTCAGTCAAAGGGCCTTTCTTTAGCACCATTTACTCGAGCAGTTCTAAAAAAAAAAATTACATCCAAAAAATGTAAGAATCCAACATTTAACAGAAAGAGAATGAAGAGGTTTCCATCTTAATGCGATCGTCTTTTTAGCAGCTATGAGGCCAGCTAGTTGTTCTGATTATTAATATTCAATATTGTTAACTTAATAACAAAACAGGGGCAGTTACAGGTACATTTGTTGAAACCAAATCAGACATTCTTGATAGTTAATTAGACGTCAAACTTCAAAGTGACATTTTTGTTTGGCTAAGTACATTTTTATTCACTGTTCTTCTTTATTGCTCAAAGATGCAAACACGTCTAATCTCAGTCCCAAACACGTGGATAGAGAGGAAAACAGGAACTGAAAGGAAGACATGCGGTTGGTCTTTTACCAGCAGTAGGCTACATCCCACATAAAAAATACTATAGTAATTTATAGGAAATTCTGTAGTGTTTTAACCATACTATAAAGTGTATTATACGGTATATGTTATAGTATTATAACTGTTGTGTATTGTAGTGTAATATACCCTATAGTTGTAGAAAACTTAGGACGGTATTGGGTAAAGTAATTTGTTTATATCACTATAGTTGTTATCTATAGTTACCACAGCAGCTATAGAATTACCACAACAAATGAATTCAAGTAATTTACTATAGTATGGTTCAAAAACACTTTAGTATTTACTATAAATTATTATTCCATGGTCTGTCTGAATACTGGATTCTGATTGGCTGGCAGGTATGCATTAAAACCGTTTAATGCACAGGTAGTTCCAAGTCAGTTTAATCACCGTTCTATATTAATGCGCTGTTTTAATTGATGCACACAAACCCACACACACATCACTCGCACACAGACACACACACACACACATCACACACACACAAACACACACAGAGAGAGAGAGAGAGAGAGAGATTGCGTCGTGCATTTAAAATCCTTTAATGCACGGCAAGCGGTCGATCATCCCTTACCTATAGTATTTTTTCATGTGGCATTAAATAAACTGCTTTAATGAACTGCGCATTACATTAGCACTCTACAAACTGACTACCTGTGAGCTGGATCTTCACCTTTTTGGACATTAATCTTGGAGTGAATATTTGGAGTGCTCTAACAATAGCTGATTTACATATTTTCTGACATGTATTTAAACTGCAACCTATTACAGTAATTACACAATACAAACTAATCTGTTATAGAACAGAGATGTAAAATTGATTAAAGCTTATATTTTTCATAAATAAACTGCTTTAATGAACTGCGCATTACATTAGCACTCTACAAACTGACTACCTGTGTGCTGGATCTTCACCTTTTTGGACATTAATCTTGGAGTGAATATTTGGAGTGCTCTAACAATAGCTGATTTACATATTTTCTGACATGTATTTAAACTGCAACCTATTACAGTAATTACACAATACAAACTAATCTGTTATAGAACAGAGATGTAAAATTGATTATGCATGTGTTGCCGTTCGTGTTTCCCTGAAGACACAAATCTTTTTGCCTTGGTTTTCATGTATACCATTTCAGGTCTATATGTGTTTTATGTTTTGCTTAATATAATAGACAGTTTTAGTAGGTATTTATTTCTACACAATCAGCCACGCCTGCACAACTCTCTGCTTGGTGCCATTGTCCCTCCCTGAAAACTAAGTAGGCTATTTGCATATGTGGCATAGTATTCAGAACCAAAGGATGAAGTTCCAACACCATCAACGAGGTCCAGGAGACAGAGAGGTCCAAAAGCAACAGTCAAAGTTATGAAGGCACAGATGGTTAGGAGCTCCAGTTGCTTTAGTGAAGCTGGGATTTAGAGCCGATGACCAGGCAAATGGGTCCAGAAGATCCTCTTGTTGCTTTGCATCTGAAGGGACAAAATTGGTCCATGATGTGGCAGGTAAAAGCATCATTCTTATCAGTTTCATGGCTGCTTCACAAATGTCATTGTAATATTCTAATTTTTTTTTTATGTACTTTGTATCCGGTCCTAGATGATTGGTCAGTCCAGTGCTCATTTAAACAGATGTTTATCAGGTGTTATCATTGCACTCAACATCAACCAAGATCGATTTAATTTGTCTGTGATACTAATGTTTCTCCACAAGTAATTAAGAAAATTAACTTACCCTTGAAATCTTTAGTTATGAAGGCACAGATGGTTAGGAGCTCCAGTTGCTTTAGTGAAGCTGGGATTTAGAGCCGATGACCAGGCAAATGGGTCCAGAAGATCCTCTTGTTGCTTTGCATCTGAAGGGACAAAATTGGTCCATGATGTGGCAGGTAAAAGCATCATTCTTATCAGTTTCATGTCTGCTTCACAAATGTCATTGTAATATTCTAATTTTTTTTTTATGTACTTTGTATCCGGTCCTAGATGATTGGTCAGTCCAGTGCTCATTTAAACAGATGTTTATCAGCTGTTATCATTGCACTCAACATCAACCAAGATCGATTTAATTTGTCTGTGATACTAATGTTTCTCCACAAGTAATTAAGAAAATTAACTTACCCTTGAAATCTTCCGTTTCCCACAGCAAGCAGCACAATAACCTTAAAGAACAACAGTGACAGACTCAGTCATTTGCACTAAATATTATGCACCCAATTTACTTTATTAACACACATTCAATGAGCGCACGCTTCTGCTGATGTCAGTCAGGTAGCTTGCTACTGGATAATGTTAATGACTATTTAGGCATTGTTTTAGCAAACTCAAAATTAAAGTCTGGCTCTATTCTAGTAATTTACCAGCCCAACCTATATTTTTTTGTTCTTGCTGAATATCTGGTTTCACACTGAAATATATGGCATCATAGGAGTAAAGGTTGCAAATGACAAGTTACCTCAAGTTTTGGACAGTGGTTAAAATATTGTGTTTTGAGCAAACAATAAGCACAGATAAAAGAAACACGTTTCAAAGATTTGAAAAGATTGAATGATGGTCTTACCAATTATTTGATGTATTTTGAGGAAAAGGATGACAGTAACCATAGCGATCAAAATAATCAAAGTAATGATGACTGCAATGATAATTGCTGTGTTCGAATCTGGACAGATAAAGATAAAGGGGAAAAAACTATAAAAAGTGAGTGATGTGATGGCCAAGTATGGCAACCCATACTCGGAATTTGTGCTCTGCATTTAACCCATCCAAGTGCACACACACACAACAGTGAGTATTGAACACACACACAGCTAAACATTTCCTATCCGAGAAATAAATGTTATGCAGTTCCTGCTGCTGTCTTACCATGAAACAGATATTTTAAATACAGTGGATCACTGGTCTCCACACTCACTGCATTTTTCAGTGTGCAGGTGTAGTGGCTGTCTGGGTTACCGCTGTTGGTCACTGTTATTGTCCTCATATTAGGATACTGTTCGTGAAGCTTCTCTCCATCCCAGTATTTCCAAATGACTGTACTTTCAGAAGAGGCTTCACCCACACAGCTCAAGAGACATCCACTGACATCTTCCAATAAGCATTTTTTTACAATATGAGGTTTGCAGACAGGCTCTATGAATAAGGATCAATAAATATTTTTTTAGAAAATATTTAAAATATATATTCAATATTAAGTAATAACAATGATTAACATAAGTAATTATTAATCATATTATTTGTATACACATTTTGTCTATTACTGTTGTCTATCATGATCATTTCTAATAAACATATTGGTATGAATACGAACAGATTAATCAATATATATATATATAAAAAAAAAAAGTATGTCTCAATTATTTCTGACACAGATATGTAAATACTGTCATGCAATAATTAATATGAAATGTGTATGAAACTGCAATACATTAACTTACCCATAACAGTCAGAGTGAATTGTTTTCTTTGCTCTTTGCTGTTGATTTCCACTGTATAAGTTCCGCTGTGTTCGAGCTGCAAATATTTTAAATGAAGATTTCCAGTGTTTTTGTCCAGAGTTGCGTGGGATTTGAATTTGGCGTTGGGAATGTCAGTGCTGCCATCCTCCAGATCCCATTCAATGACCTTCACAACAGTTCCAGCATTGTCTCTGTGTTTCCATATAATGCTGGTGGTGCTAGGCGCAACCGATCCAGTCACTTGAGTGAACGTAGTTTCACTATTCACCGCTTTTGTCACATCATCTCCTATAAATAAGACATTATAAAGTGATTCGACATTATAAATATTATATATTGGCAGCAGAACACTTATTTCATTGTATCCTACATTATAAGCCTACATTATTTCCAAAACAACGTTAAAGTAGGCCTACTTTGGAATTTGAGTTCAAAATATTTTCATCGTTTTATTTTTATATTTTCTACTCGATTTTATGATTTGATATATTCAGCTACATTCAAAGTGGTTCACAATGAGCAATGGACTTTTGTCTGCTGGTTGTAGCTTTGAACCACTTTGATTTTACTCAAAACTCTTAAAGCACAAAATTAAACGTGAAATTACAATTTAGTGGTTTGAGTTTCGTTTACAATGACTTCTTACAAGGGTTAGGCATGGTGGTGCCATGATGCACTTGGGGTATTATGTAAATGCCAAATATTAATTCAGCACCAAGTATAAGCATACTATAGTCTAAGCATAAGTATAAGCACAGAACTATGCATATGCATTTATACAAACAGCTTAATTTGTAAAAAATTAATCCGTAAAATAACAGAAAAGGTACTGGCAGCTCATTGCACATGACATTATCCATTAATCGTACGGACATTTCTGTTAACTCTAAAACACAATGCAATGAAGTGTAAAATTCTAAATACTGTTAAAACAAAAAAAATTGAAAAATTCCTTAAAATTACACAATAACTATTTTTACAGATTTTTTTTAGAGTGTACCTGAAACAGATTTGCAGATGATCAAGATCCATATAAAATGGCATTGTTTGAAGAACATCATCTTACTGCTTTCTTCTGCTTGGTTCTCTAGTCTACTGAGGCATCTGTGAGTTTGCTGAACACTTTTAACAGTGCGCTGTTGTTTGTGCCCTCTTGTGGCAGAAAGGAGGGTTGAACCTGACATGAACTTTCCAGCAAATTCAGAAGAATCTCTGCTTATTAAAAATCTAATTTTTATGTCATGTGACAAACTTTTATACCTTCGGAAAATTGGTTTGTGAATCTTTCTTTCCCAGAATTATTTGAATGATCCAGCAATCTGATTAGAGCTACACTGCGTACTTGGATCTCTGGAGTTGAAAACTGACCAGTCCTCTTTCTTTTTAATGTATGAGTGGTGTGGCCATTTGTATTTTGAAAGTGTGATGCTTCTGGTCTCATTTGCTTCCAGTTATTTTACCTGTACAAACAGGGCCATAGCTGGGGTTTGCGGGGCCCAGTGCAGGTTGTACCCTCGTTTGAAATTGTGTAAACAGCACAGCTAAATAAAAAGAACAAAGATACAAATTAAACAATGTTTCAAGTTTGTAGGTGTTCAGGTACAGAAACCGAATAATCAAAAGTAAAATTGCATTGCATAGTTGCTGTTATGGTAAGAAAACAAATATTTGTACCGTTTCAACACAATGTCAAGAATAATAAAATAAGACTGTATATTTCTATATGAGGTCCAGCAGTAGAAAATAACCACCATGTTTCTGTCACAGCAAAGGCTCTTAAACCTACTGTGGCATTCGACTGCCAATTGAATGGAAATGCGAACTTCTCGTGTGGCATTGCAGACCAGGTAATCTTCATAGCCTCTATAATTAAGCAATGCATTTGTATTTTCAACGAAAAGGAAACTGATCAAACTATGAAGCTTGAAAAGTTCACTCCACAATCCTCTACAATTATCAAAGTATTAAAACGCCAAAACTTAAATATGCTGCACATTTATTAATTTATCAGATGCTTTTGTCCAAAGAGAAATGATGTTAATAGTATAATAAAAAATAAAAAGTCATAAAAATACAATTATACATAATTGAATGGACCTATGAGGTATTTTCTCAAAAACAGGTCAATTGTTGTAATTACTTTATGCAAAGCCTCAGTTTCCTGAAGTCTCATGTGCATTAGATTCAACATGTTGAATAAGAGGCAGGTTGCGATAATAAATGAAACACATTTAATACATAATATATGTTTTTGACTATGTTTAAGCCACTGTTATATTGTTAGATAATGCATTTGCCAGATCTCTTCGTTCAGGAGGCACCAGACAGATCTAAACAAGCTCCACTCAATACCCTGCATAGGGGATTTAACAGAATTATGTTTTTTTACTGTACTCATCTTAAATGCACACTATCAGGGTTAACATTAGTCTTCCTTGTTTTTATCACAGGTCTGAGGACCCGCTCTGTGTAATAAACAATGAAAAATTATGAAAGTTCAGATCACGGTGAAAACAAAATGAAATCAAATGCAACTTACAAAAAGTTGCTTTGACATGTTTTTGGACATTTGCCATGATAGTACCGTGATATTTTTGGAAGTACCTTGGATTACTATGTTAACATGGTGCATGCATTTCAGTAAAGCTCTGTTTTTTGCAAGTGAGGCTACGTACAGCCATTAAAGTAAAAATACAATGGTTTATTAATATTAGTGTTAATGAATTTAATAATCAATATCCACTCACCCATAACAACCAAGGTGAATTTTTGTTCCTGCTCTTTACATACTGTTGATGTCAATGGAATAAAGTTATTTTAAAAGGGAAGTTGTCCAGAAGATGGCAGTATTGTATGAAAATTAAATTGTCATGCAGTTGTTCATATGTTAAAAAACCACAAGGTCACTGGTATATAAATGGCAAGGTTTTTATTATACTTATAAGGCTATTTGTTTACTGTTTTGTTCATTTCTTTTGCCTTAAAGAATGTCCAGAAATATGTCAAATCGATAGCAATACACAGACTCACACAGAAAGTGTGATGTATCAGACCAGAATATGAAATAAACACATTGGGCTAAATACTGTACTTTTTGAAAATGACAGATGGTTTTGCACCAAAATATACTGTGGAGTTTGACACGCGGCCATTGATGTTTTTTCCCACAATTCAAACAGATCTGAAACTCCTTTTTAGGTCGTGAGCCACCAGTTGAGAAACACTGTCCTAGATTGATCCAGTATAAGATTACATATGCATCACACTCAGAGCAAGCCTTTCTGTATGATTTTTCTATCTGCCTAAATCATGTAAATTCATTTTTAAATCAGTGCTTGCCAGCTTTCTAGTCCGCAGGATTGAGATAAAAATAGCTGGCCAAGTTCACAAAATATCAGATCCATCGTAAATGTGTTAAAACACCTGCATAACAGTGCAACACATTAGATGGCATCCTTCCACACCTGTGCTGCACTGTCTCAACATGCCTCCGTCTGCACAACTGACATCTTTAGTTCTTTGCTCTGTCTGCGTAACCGCCAACTCTGATCGCGAACAGGAAATTCTTTCTGTTTCCTCCAGTTGATTCTGAAAAAGTTCTGGAACATTTGCTGTTTTCAGAAGAGCAATGAGCTGCCAATACAGTCTCTTATTTTTATTCCTCTGCGGCTTTGCTGCGCTCACTGGTAAGTTGTGATTACATTTTGTATATATTGTGTGTTAGTAGTCTAAAGTGTATTGGCTCTTTTTTCCCTTAATTTTAGGGATGTTACTGTTGACCTTACTGTATTTTGTTGTTGAGATCCAACATTACGATGTGATTAACATATTAAGGATAGTAATCCACATTATCCTTTGGTCTCATGCATATTGTGCTATTTAATATCAAAACAATGACTATAAATTATGTGAGAATAATCACTGTAAATCATGTTTTTTCAGTTTACTTTATATAGGAACATCTAAATTCACTTGTCATTCAAGAATCAGATCAGGTAGAAATATCTCCTAAAGGCAACACATGCCCTTGGACACTGTACTGTACTGATTTAGTCATTTTTGGCCATTTTTAAATGCAAATCTAGTGACGTTTACATGCAAACCGCTACAATGAGAGTTTGTTTGCATCTACATTTAACAGAAACACTTACAGAAAGTGGAATATAGAGATAAGTAGTAAAGTTCGGAGACCTGCAGGCCTGTTACGAGTTCATCAAAATAGGTGCTTTAAAAGATCTTTTTTTCCCCAGTGTTTCCAGGAAGACCATTTAACATCCATGGAACTTCTGCATTCCACAAAAGGTTCTTTATAGTTATAAAATGCTTCTTTAGATCATTTAAAAAAATTGAAACTAAGGAGAAAAGAGGTACTTTTAAGGACTTTTGACTGAAAGATTCTTTGAAGATCTAAAAATGGTCTATTGTACCCCCCTTGAAACTTTTTATTTTAATTTTTTTAGTTGAAACCTTTATTTTTGTCTCATGGAGAGGTTGGCACAGAGTAACTAAATTGTTAAAGAGTAACTAAGATTTCAGGTGCTAAAAGGTTTTGAGTCAAAAGACTTATTTAACAAATGCTCATTTTATTAGGCACCGTTTTGTTGGTTTCAAACATCATGTACAAAAACTTTCTTAAAATGGAACAATTTTTATTACATTCCAGTATCCTCTTATTATTTTTGTAATATCTGTTGAATAAATAGGTGAACGCAATAGAGACTAACAGAAGACACGAGTCACTATATAACAAAGGCAGATTTGAACTGAATAATTGTACTGTATTCTCAGGACATGGCCTTTTTTCATATAAATGTCAAATTAGGGCATAGATTTCGTCATTTTACATTGTTTCGTTTTATTTTGATACTTATTTTAATTTCTTTTGGCCAGCCTGGTTTGAGTTTTGCCGTTTCCTGAATTGCTGTTTCATAATAGTTTTACTGTTTAGATTCTAATGAAAAGACTGTAATATGCTCTCTAAAGCAGGTCCACGTTTGTGACAACTTACCCCATTCAGTTTGATAACACGCCCTATTGTTATCGGAGTCAGTGTGTGTTAAATGAACCCTAACATTTTTTTTAAATGGACAATAGTGGCAGAATAGGATTTTGAACTGAGATTTGTCTAAGGTTAGTGTCCCTTGACTTTAAAAAAGAAACCCATTCTGAGAAACACATATGAGTGCATGAATCCTGTTGAGTTTTATTAAATGCTAATATCATTTTATTTGTTATAGTTGCAGAGATATGTAAAACAGAACTACTAGAGGGAACGTCCTGCACCCTAAAGCTGCCAACAACAAACACTGACAAATCTAGTGAGATCAAATGGGCCCATGGCAGCAGTAACGCTGTCATTCAGAGGAAAAATAATAAGAACAAATCAAACACTCCAGGTCTAACACTGGAAGAAGATGGATCATTAACATTTGAAAGTGTTAGTCTGAAGAACACCGGCAAATATACATACACTGTTTTTAATTCTGACGGTACACTGATTGGTGCTGGAGAAAAGGAAATTAACGTTTATGGTAAGAGGACAAATATTCATATGCTTTCACCATAATAACAAAATAAGAGTGTATATTTCTACAGTAATTCCAGTAGAAATTAACCACCATGTTTCTGTCACAGCAAAGGCTCCTAAACCTACTGTGAAGATCGACTGCAAAGGTGCTGACGTTACACTCACCTGTGACATTAGAGACCGTACAGATCTGACTGTCTCCTGGTATAAAGACAATACCATCCAGACTGAAAAAAAAACAAAACTGCTCTTGACATCTGCTCACATACAGGAGAATAAACCGTACTCATGCAGTGTAAGCAATCCTGTCAGCAATGAGCAAAGTGGCATCGTTACAGTATCATGTAAGTCTTTTTATTTTCACCAAGTTCTCATGTTATTTCACATGCTTTGCATTAATTATTATTATATATTTTTAAATGCTTGTGTTTTATTCTGTCTTAAAGACAACATTTAAATCATGATTTTTCTGGGTATATATATATATATGCAATTAGCTATGTCACAACTTAATTTCACATTAGAACAACTCAAACTCAGAGATAACTCAAATATACAGCTTGTTACTTAATAGAGCTTCAGATTTCAAGTTGAATAACATTTAAAAATTTACTTTAAGTTGAGGCAATATTTTTTCAGTGTTATTTTTTTTGCTTTATTCCACATCAAAGCCATCAAAACTATGAAAAAACACAAACGATTGTCTGGGAGTTATTAAGTGACTAAAAAATGTTAAGATTGCAAAACAAATAGGCTTATTAACTTTCAAAAGGAAGAAGAAAACACTTTCTTGTTGTTCATGTCAAAGGTCAAGTGTCCATGTATTTGAGTTTGCCATCATGCCTGACATTCCCTTGTCTTTGCAAGGGACAAGAAATTGCAAACTAAATTAAAATACATCCCAGAATACATTAAAAATGGTTTGTTTGGTACTGTATTGAGTCATACTGTAGATTCCAGCCCTCAGTCAACTCCATGAGGAGCATCTTGGAAAGTATTTTAAACATTTATTGAGGAACACAGATGCTGCAAATTTATTGATGCATTTACGTCATTCACCAGTAGTCAATACAATGAAATGTATACATGATGCACACAGTTATATTTGCCTACAAAACGGATTCCAATCATTTAAACAGAAGCTTTTAAATCAAGAGATTATTAAGATAATTAGGAGTGTGTCCAAAGGATTGGCTTATATTGTGCATTTTAAGGATCATCTCGTGATTGAACATTGAACACTGGCCTGTACAGTACTATGCATGATGCAGTTCTTAGGATTTTAAACTGTTAAAATAGAGTTTTTTTATGATTCACTTGTTTGTTACTGATTTCATTACATTTGCTTACAGGTACAGGTACTACAGGTGACGGCTCAGGTCCTCGTAAACTCTTTGGCTTTGATTTATGGATCATGGTGAGCATTTTAGCAGGTGGAGGAGCCCTTCTGTTGATGCTGATATGTGTTCTCATCATCTGTGCATGTCGAAGCTGTAAAAAACAAAAGAAGCACGAACAAGGTAAGAGACGCCCTTCATCGCCTCTGAAATTATGCATTGAGCATTTGTATTTACAACAAAAAGCAAACAGATCAAATTATGAAGCTGTCAATGCACTTGCTGAGCTTTAATCTGTGTTTTTAAATGCCAAATCTTAAATATAGTCATAGAAATAAAAATATAGATTACTGAATGAACTTATGAAGATATCTTCGTTGTGTTTATTCATTGTACTTAAGTTTAAAACAGGAACGCAAAGCCTTTTACCGCAGTTTCCCGTAGTGTCAGGTTAGAGGATCCATTACATAATATACTGAAACCTAAACACATTTCATGTGTATTTATAATTTTTTTATTTTTTTGGACTATGTTAAGCCACTGTTAGATAATGCATTTGCCAAATCTCTTTGTTTAGGTGGCACCAGACAGATCTAGAAACAAGATCTAACAAGCTCCGCTAAATATCCTGTATACAGACGTTTTTATGTGGTTTTCTGAAGCATTAAAAAGAACAATCAGCACTAAAGGTTTTCTAAGAATCCACACAATCAGCACTTTACAGGTTTTATAAGAATCACCTTCAAAAATAAGTAGAATAGCTTATAAGTGCTATATAAAAACACTAGAACAGGATTACACAATCAAGAAGTTGCTATCTAAAGATAAATCTGGTTATTTTGCAAGATTACTTTTTCATCAAGTTCAAATAATTTATTCTGATAGATTCCTTTTCCAATTATTTTATTTAGAATTTAGAATTATTTCGAATTTAGAAGATGCATATTATGGAAATTAATATAAATGTAATTGCGGTATGTGTTATTTATATATGTGTTACTGCATATACATAACACATATTTACTTTTATATTTATTCACTGAGCAGATGCAATACATTGTTCAGATTAGTACAAGCTAGAAAGGGAGGGATTAATTTTTTTTTTTTTTTAGGATGCAGTCAATATACATATTGCAGTATGTGTTTCTATAAATAGTGTGAAATCATATATATCAGTCATCAGCCACAATACTGGTATCAGAAAATATAATAAAATTGCACATAACAGATTTACTTCACAGTCTTAAAAAAATCTTTGTCTTTGATATTTTCCAGATGAAGAAGAGCTCAGACTGAGGGTTTTTCAAGATGAAGCTCATACCGGTACAGCCAGATCCAAACACACTGCTAGGGGGCAACCGGCGCCCCCCATCCCGCAAGAAGACACAACTCCACAAACCCCAACTCAAACCCAGACTCAGCCCAAAGCCCAGACCCGCAGTCGACCTCCACCACCACCTGAGGACGATGAGGAAAATCCTCCTCCCTTACCTCGGCCGAGGAATAAACAACACCGCAAGAGACATGAAGAGCCGTACCGACCAATGGAATGAGATGCTTGTATGTTCACTGAACGACAGTAACTCAGGGCCTTAACGGAATCATTTTCATAAGCCATACTGGGATGCTAAGAGTGTCATTTAAGAAATAGCACGGTAAAAATGAAATTTGGTCATATACTCACCCTCATGTTCTTCCAAACTTGTATTGTTTTCTTTATTTTCTTCAAACACCAAAGGAGGTCTTAGGCAGAATGCCAAAGCGGTTCTTGTCCATAGAGGGAAAAGAGATGGTGATTTATACTTAAGCCTCAGAAACCATAGTCCTTAAGATCTAAGTCTTCTGAGGACTATTTATGTAATGATTTACAACGCAAAAAAAATTTTTTTTTTTTTTTGCTTTGAAATGAAGAAAACGTACATAATGAGCAAGTACATCTTCCAAAAAGTGTTTTGCCTTAGTCTAGATCACTGTAAGCCTCTAATAATTATTTATATTTTTTAAGTTTTTGGGGCAGATTTCCAGGGAACCTGCATACTTTCGTCATTACTCATTACTCATTACGTCATATTCGTAAATAAAGGAAAGCAATCAGAAGTCAGAATATTACTATATTAATAAGTGGATGGAGCTTGAAGAAGTAACAACTGAATATTGAACCAAAAAGCAAAAAGGGAAAGCTAAAGTATCCGTAATAAAACACGAATCAATATACTTTACATAGTAGTTACTACTTTGATCTGTTTGTTATGGAAGTCCATTTCCGCCACTGAATAAAAAAATAAAAAAGGAAACTGCGACTTTTTTTCTCGCAGTTCTGAATGAGACAATCAGCCGAAGCACAACTCAAGAGATCAAAACAATGTTAGTCCGCGAGTAACGTCAGCCGCTAGAGTTGTCTAGCTTTCAAATAATAGAATACAGTGAATAACGGCTTAAATTTAAGTCTGTTTTGTGAGGTGAACATGAGTATATGAATTATTCTTCAGGTGCACTAAGTAGCCTATTTTCTCTCAGGTCTTATTTGTGTCTTTAAACATCTAAAATAAGAGACGTCTTGATCATTATACTGGCACACCTGTAGATGTAAATGCATTGTGTTTTTATTTATTAAATCAACAGTTATGCGACTTTAACATTAGAGTTTAGAATTCCGCTTATGTTAAATTAACCAACTTCTTTCCTAGTCTGTATTAACACATTGATGTAAATATATTTGGGTTGTCACTTTTTAGAGGTACAATTAACTTAGTGCACCTTTAAGTAGAAAACAAAAGTGTCTATGAGCTGAATGAAACAGTATTTTATAGAGTAATTTTTCCTTTTGTGTGTGTGTGTGTGTTTTCTGAGACCATAAAAGTCAAAAATAAAGACATTTATATATTTAATTGTTTGTGCACCTATAAATTGTTTCAAATATTTTTCAGTTCAAAGTTTTCGGTTCATTCTTTTGCATTACTTCCCCATTAAGGTCTTCTCAGAACATATTTTAGACTATAAAAGAGACAATAGAATAGGTGTGAATGTGTTCTTTCATTTTGACAATACTCTCAATTGCACAGAATCGTGCAAATGCAAAGCATGCTTCTGTAATGCAAAACACGTTTCATTTCTTGTGCTCTGTGGTGACGTTTTTCTCACTAAAAATCGACATCTAACTAGCAAGTCTGAAGGCCTCAGGGATGTGGTTAACTGCGTCTCATTTCACCCACTGACATGTCAGCTTTTTCTTGTATTGTTTGCTGTTTTCCTGTGCGTGGGAGATGATGAGATGATACGGCCTCCGAAGGCTGCACTTAAGACAAAACATCAACTTGTTTCCCTAGATATTTTGAACTATTATCAATTCCATTCATGCTGTGAAAACAGTCTTCCATAGCTTGTTCTTGGTGGTAAAAATGAATAATAGAAATGAGCAATAGCATAATGGGGTCCAGTCATGTGGTAAACTGAGATTTGTTTTCTAAGGCATTTGTTCTTTTAACACTCAATGAAAGTATATATTATCTTACATGCATGCATGCATAAATATTGAGCATATAGACATATTTAGAATATTTGCTTTATATTTCAACATCCTGCTGTGTTGTGCTAAATGTGCAAAACATGGTTTGGGCTGTAATGTCGAACATAAGTATAAATGCAAAGATGTAAAAGTCTTTGCATAAATGCATTTAGACTTGTTTGGCATTTTACTTCTGTTCAACTTTACAGCCCAGACCATGTTAAAATAGCTAGAAAAACGAATGCATTCAAATTAGTTTATTAAATAAGAATGTACTCTGTCCTTTTTCGCAGTAAAGTCAGAAAATGTGGTGATGTGCATCATGACACTTTTTTCCAATTAATCATAAGATCTTTTTCCACAGTTGTGATCGGTTGAGAAGTGTGTGCTAAAATTGGTTTGGGTCAGAAATTTGTCATCATGGAAATAAGAGACGCTTTAATCTCATTCGAGGCCAGTAAGCATACCATGCGAGTTCGTCTGAAAGGCTCCCATCACTAACACACATTTCTATATGTAGGTGTTTCCTGTTTTTGGCTGTCCACACAGGAAGTGGCTAAAATAAGTGATTATCACTTTCTTAGATACATCAGAAGCACGAATACAAAGCAGTTGGGGACAACTCATGAAGAAAAAAATTATAACTTTGTACATGCATCAAAGATTAAGTAATACATTTGGGTTGCATGCTTCATTATGTGTAGTAACTAATCAGTACTATAGTTATTAAACAAGAAAGAGATTTAAACACTGTTTGAGGTACTAAACACAAAGTGTGTTGTAAAGGCCTTTAATGTTTAATAAAAAGACTCTTTCTTCCCTTACAATCAGCACTGAAACGATTTTATACTGTGTTCTTGACCAAAACGCAGCAGTTTATTCTATTTGATGTCCAGTAAACAGAAGGAAATTCAGCATTGATTAAAAGTGTATTCTCACTTCTCTATTTTTATTTTGAACTGAAAACACACAGACCTAGGCTATACCATGATAGTGGCACATCAACACTGACTTTTGCTAATAAAAATGCACCACAAACTCAATTAACTGAGTATTGACTCAAGATTGCAGTGTAATAATCGAATTAGCCATTTAAGCCAACACAAAGCAGTGCAGTGGTTTAAGACTGAACACAAGGAGGTTATTGGTTCAAACCCACCAAGAAGTGAGTCATAAAGAGTGATGTCAGTGTCACTAGGGTTTCCTTGAAGGCTACTTAAAGTCACTTCATGTCATGACTGCAGGTTATGCAACTGTTTCTCAACACTAGATGGCATAAGAGACTTATGCGCCTCTGATCTGCTGCTAGGAGAATTTTAACTCGATTTAAAAGTCATTTTGCTACTAAACAGATTACAGTTATGATTCTAGAATGGAGCTGAAACTCATCATAGATCTAAGTTGCAATAATGCAGAACTGTTATAAATATTTAGGCTATCTATCTATCTATCTATCTATCTATGTATCTGTCTGTCTGTCTATCTATCTATCTGTCTGTATGTCTATCTCTCTGTCTGTCTGTCTGTCTGTCTCTGTCTGTCTATCATCTATCTATCTATCTATCTATCTATCTATCTATTGTCTGTCTGTCTGTCTGTCTGTCTGTCTGTCTGTCTATCTATCTATCTGTCTGTCTGTCTGTCTATCTATCTATCTGTCTGTCTATCAATCTATCAATCTATCTATCTATCTATCATCTATCTATCTATCTGTCTATCTATCTATCTATCTATCTATCTATCTATCTATCCATCCATCTGTCCAGTGTGTGGCGCAGAGTGTGTGAGGTTCAGTCTCTCGCAGGGAATCCCGCTTCACTTCCGTCACTCGGTAGGTTCGGTAGTTAAACCTGCGCGAGCGCGAATCAATCACGCGTCCGTCACTCGTCTCCCGCTCGCGCTCAAACGGAGCGCGTGACGTCACCGCGGCGAGGGGCTCCGGTTCTCAGGTGTATCCCGGTCCTGTCTGTCTCTCCGGCGGTCGCTCCGTCTTCGGCTCGTACCGGGAATAACGCGGCGGACCGCGCGTCTCAGCGACATGGGAAAGACTCGAGCGCTGCTCCTGCTGTGCGCCGCTGTCGGTGAGTTTCCTGCGGGGAAAAACTCGGCTACAAATGTAGCAAAGAAATGACAAACCCTCCGCGAACGGCGTGAGTCTGTTGTATTGACAAGTAACAGCGTTCCTGTCAGAAACATCAAAGTGTTTCGCCAGGTGACCTAAAATGTGTTTCACGTGGTGACATCTAGCTGCTTTTCTTTCTGTCCAAATATGATTTACTATGAACCTGATTACATAAGATTATAGTGATTGCACTTTTTACAGCATTAACCATTGCTGCTTTGCACGCTTAATGAGATCTTATTTAACCTCTCAATCATTATAGAATTATTCTGCCGTAATTTCTTCTTTTTTGTTATCAGATTTGCATAATCAAAATTTACAGTAAATACCTCAAAGGAAGTAAAGTTTATGCATATTTAAGTATAGTTTATATTTGCATGCTAAATTAACAATAACTGTAACCATTATAGGACTAATCTGTCTTGAATTCGGACTATTTTTAATTTTGCATTGTCAAACTTTAAAGTACCTCAAAAGGCATGTTATATGAGCTCTAACTATCTCTAAATAATTATAGAATTGTTCTGCCTTGATTTCTTACTATTATCAGATTTGCATGGTCAAAGTTTAATTTAAATACCTAAAACAAAGTATAGGCTTTGTGGTTTAGATTTGCATATTAATTGGGATCTAACCTCAGCTGTGAATCACAATAGAATTGTTCTGCCCTGATTTTCTTGAATGTTTATATCTGTGCGGTAAAGTTTATTGTAGCTCACATAATGCAAATTATAGCATTTTCATGTAAAATGTGAGTTTTGTGTGTAAAATGTGAAAGTAGTTTTCTAACTAATCCTCTTATTATTTTATGAAATGTTGTTGATTTTTATTTTACAGTCAAATATACTGTCGTCTACTGAAATTGAAGACTTAAATAATATTAAATAATTGATATAAATGACACGCAAGTTTGAATTTGTCTGAATTTTTATATTTTCCTTTTTAATTTAAAATTTTGTTTTTGAAATAAATTTAGTTTTTTTAAAAATAAAGTTTTTTTATAATCTTATTTCAATTTAAAAAAAAATGTTTTAACTCATTTTATCTTTTAACTCAACTAAAATGAGAACTGGTGCCTTGGGAGCTAGTGAAAATAAAACAAGTGTTTTTTAGATGTTTCTATATTATTTTATTTTAGTTAAAGTTTATTTATTTCAAGTGACAGAAATGTTTTATTAATGGGTTTAGTTTTAGTGTTAGTCAACTAATAGCCCTGCACTATGACATGAATGACATGCAAACTTATACTCTTCAAAATAATTGTTGTAATTTGAATCCAAAAGGGTTTCACAGTCTTCGTACGTTCCTCAAATAACATTTTATTCACTAGTTCTGTAGAAAACCTTCAAAACACTGATCTGAAGAACCTGTAAAGAACCACCATGAACTTTGAATCTTCAAAGAGCCATATAGTTTTTAAAAGCAATTATTTTTACAGGAACGTGGCATAAAGTATCTGCTTTGCATATTACATGAGACCTAAATAAACCTTTACATTATTATAGAAATGTCTTGATTAAAAGTTTCCAGATTTACATAGTCAAAACATATAGTGTCTACGTTAAAATGTTGTTGGTTCAATTCATGAGTTTGTACAGTGTGAGATGCTGACATGTCTGGGTTTTATGCATGCATGTATTTGCGTATGCATATTCTCATGTGCACCTGTGCACACAAACAAACTTCAAACCAGACCAGAATATATCACCTCTCCTCCATTTTCTTGCTATTCTGTATTCATTTATCACAGACCGGTCTGTTAAACACTCCTGTATCGACTTCAAAGCTAAAAAAAAAATTAAGAATTTGTGATTTTCCAACGCTGACAAGATTCCCAATGGACTTGATTTACTTGAAATATAGTGCAAAAGAGAATAAATGAGTATATGGTGAAAATAACAATGCTTTAAAGGACACATTTCTCCTGTGTCTTCTCCAGTTTTGAAGTTGCTCAGTAGGCGCCTACAGCCAAAAGCGTGTCAGTGTGTGTTACAGGAGCTTTCCTGTAAGAAAAGAATATTTTAGGATAGTCTTTTCTCATTTGCAAGTCTAGTGGGGTGAGAGTGACAGAGTTATCATTTGCATTTGTGGTCTTTTTTGTTATGAAAGTGCTGCATGCTTTGAAGATGATCCTCATAATCCCATTGTATAGTGCCATATGCCAAACCATAGTCAGCACCTGTGTGCTTATGACACCAGGAATCAGGTTAAATATTCAGATGTTGTG